CCCCTCCCCAGTCACTCTCCCCACCATTGTCCTTGTCCTTGGGTTGTGCATATATGCATATAAATTCTTTGGTTACTCTCTCCCCCTCCACCCCCTCTCCCCCCTCCTTTCTTAATGTAAACTCCCTGTATACTCGACCTTGATTTAGACTCTGTTCTTTGAGAAAAGCTAGAAAAAGACACCATGCTTTCTTACTGAATTTTGTTCTTTTTCTCCTTTCCTATCACTTATTGGATAATCAACTTGCTGCTTCTGTTTTTAAATTTATTTCTTTACTTTTATTCTGGAGGTTACCCCTAGTTGCTGAACCAGGAGCACTGTCTAAAGCTTATCAGTATCTCTTTCTTTTCCCCAAACAAACCAATAATCTTAACTACTTCTTTACAAACTTTGACCTATATCTGTACACCCAAGTTCCTATTTGTATTTTTTAGCATTTTAGTTCCAGATTCATATTGATCAAGTGGTTTTGTTTGTACTAATTGTTCATTTAAATAAGAATACACAATTCTTTACTCATTTACACATATCTCACTGCCTGCTCCTGAATTTATCTCTTTTTCCTGGAGTATGGCCTACAGTAGTTATTTCAAAGAGGATGTATGGTAAACATTCTATAATATTTATTTCTCCTAACATTTAAATTATAGTTTAGCTGAAATAAGATTCTAGCTTTAAATGCACTTTCCTTCCAAACTTCAAAAATGTAATCCCAATGTCTTCTAACCAGTGTTGCTGTTGAAAAATCTAATGCCTATTTGATTCTTATTTTTTAAGGCAATATTTTTAAATTTTCTTTATTATTATTTTTTCTATTTGCCTCTGGAAGTCTTTAGAATTTTCTTGTCTTTGATGTTGTTAAGTTTTGTTGTGTTTTCTTGAACTTATTTTTATTGCAAAATGCTTCTCACTTTGTAGCTGATCTGGTCTCTTCCCATGCTCACCATCTGCTGCTTAGAAAACAAAATAAAAACTCTGGGGCGAAAAAAGCAATGGCCAATCCAGTTTAAAGTTCTATCCAATATTTTAAATAGCTCTTTTAGGTAATGCTCAAATTCTCTTGCATAAAAACCAAGCTGCTTACCTATTTTCTTCCCTCTTCTAAGAGGGCCAGCTATCTGAGGAGTTATGTGGCTTCTGTGACCAGAAGGCATGGGGGCAGGACCGGCCTGGCATCCCCAGTGTTCTGCCTTCGCTGCCTCTTTGCATGCTGGGCAGTTTTTCCTGCCTGCCTGGTGGCTGAAGGAAGCTGCAGGTCCTTTTTGGCTTAGTAATAGCTCCTTTGTCAACACAAATGAGGGAAGTAATTGTGATGAAAAGGAGGAAGAAGTTCCAGAGAAAGTGATACTGACAAAAAATTTCACATTAAAGGAAGTCTCAAGGGTATTTCATGACATTGAAGGCAGAAAGGATGAAATACGATAAACCAGCCCAGACTGAGAAGAGTATAGTGATTTGCCAAAGAATAGAAAAGATGCTTGCTCAGTATTGTAAGTTATATGACAGGAAGACGGAGGCTGGAAGACTACAAAGAAATAAAACACTTTGGTTCTATATGTTTCTCATGTTTTAAATTACTGTATCCTAATTTTGCAGTTTTTTAATTTATAAATTCCCCTATATATTTAAAATAACAGAAGAATTTATTTAAAGTTTTGAGAAAGCTTTTTTAAAGTCGTGGAATAATTGTAGTTTTCTCCATTGATTATTAAGCTCTCTTTGCACAGGTTCAGCTTGCACAGCATTTTTACAGCCCCTCACTATCATGCAGCAGAAGACTGCGTGTGTAATAAAGTAATTTACCTTACAGAGTTTTTTGGCAGATTAAATGAAACTGCATGATGAGCACTGACTATGAGGTCTGACGTGTATTAGGCTCTAAGTGAACGTTGTCTATCCTATGTGAGTATTACCAGTTTCTTTATCTTGTAGGAATTTCGGGGAGCTGGTATGCTTTTCCGTATGTCATATTTTAAAATTATAATTGGATGCTTTATTATTGTTGAAATCTTTTTAAATAAATGGATGCTTTATTATTGTTAGAAATTATTTTTAAATATATATTCCAAACTAAATAAGCATTTCCTCTCGAAAAATTTGTGATAGCTATCTCTCCCCCTCTAAAACATCCACAAAGCTTACAGCCATTCACATGAGGGAAATACATTTATGGGCACTTGCATTGAAAAGGATTCAAAAAGATTCAGATGCATTACAAATAAGACACTGTTGCGCAGCTGGGCGTGTCGACCTTGGATCCAGGAGATCGAGGTTCAGTTGGCGGTCAGGGCACATGCCCGGGTTGCGGGCTCGATCTCCAATATCTCTCTCTCCCTCTCCTTTCCTCTCTCTGAAATCAATAAAGATGTGTAAAAAAATAATAATAAGACACTATTGTTTCCTTATTTTATTTTTATCTCTGAGTTTTCCTTTTAAAAATAAAAAGTGTCAAATTCCTTTAAAAATATGTTTTTAGGGATTAAAGAATGAATATCACATGAAGCTCCTTTGGGGAACTACTAGTGGAAATGCCTACAATGATTACAGAAAACTGAACTTTTCAGAAGAATCGGCACAGTAAAACTGCTTCCTCTGCGGGGCCACAGGATAAAAGAAAGGCAATGGAAGCAAAGAGAAAGGTATGTACTTGTTATTGAACTGTTGATCCTGTATTGAAACTCGAGGCTTAAAATACCCACGGAGTGATTGATTGATTGATTTGATTTGATCTTACTTTGTATTATTTATTGATTATATTATCATGTGCTTTGTAATGGAAGAAAGCTCTTAAGAGGCTGCCTGCTGATGAGTAAGAACTTTTTGACAGTTTGTGGGGTTTATTGCTATTGAAAAACAGTGTATCTGCTACAGAATTTAGGTAGCTACTAAACTGAGAGAGAAACTGAGTGTGGCTTGTGTCAGCTTTTGTCACAAGGGAGAAATAATATGTGTTTAACCATTAAAATAGTTAACTGCTTTTGAACAGATTGTTTTAAGGAAGCAATTGAGCTAAGACTGCAACCTAGTGGTGAGTTTGTTATTGAAAAAAAGTGGCTGCATTTATTCTGGCCATTGATAAAGCTGCAGTTGAATTCCGAATGAGACTTATCACACAGGGCTGTGTGCTTGTGCCCTTCTTGTGAAGACTGATCTGCACATCATGTTGTAGGTGGACTAAATATGGAGAAAGGATGACCGTGATCGGATCCCTGAAGCTCTTCATTTTATGCATCATTTTTTTTACCTTATATGAAGCTCCTGCTCATTTCTCCTAGTTTCTTTGTCTCTTTAAAGGTAAAGTAATACCTTGACAAGACCACTGTAGCTTATCTTTTCACATTAGTTGGACTAATTTCTTTCAATTGCTTGTTTAATCAGTTCCACCTTAGAATAGACTTTTACTTGGTTTTATTTCTTTGATTGAACTGATTCAGATCTTACTATTATTTAATCCAAGTAAATTTTTCATGTAATACGATTCTAAATATCCTTCTCATTACTTTTTGACTCAAAAATAGTGTTTAGCTTTTTAAAGTTTGATGTAGCTTTTATTTCTTAGCAGCTATTATGACTAGTTGTATTGATTACTATTTCATATTACACTGTATTGATATGGAAGAATTGACTGACATAGATAGTAATGTTCAGGTTTTGTTCTTATTCAGAAGATCACTTACCTTACACAAAATATAGACTACCCAAGAAATACCTCTGTATAAGAATTTGAATCTTTTAATTATCATATATCTTAATCTCATTTTTAAAGTCTACTTGTATCTTATATCAGTTTTCCTCATTTTTCAATAATCCTTTTTAAGCATAGACTTTAAAATGTGCTTGATCCTTGTTTCTTGATTTAGTTGTCCAATCATCCTTGTTCCTTAGCACTCTAGTTTTTAGTTGGTTGTATTAACTCTCCTTTTATATAGTTTTATTTTACTTACAAAATGTTACTTGTGACTTTTTTTTTCTTTATTTGCTCCTCCCAAATCTTTTTTCTCTGGCAGAGCTTGTTATTTGGGTGTGAACTCCCATTATCCTATATGCAGTAAAATCAGTCCTGTGCTTCATTAGGGTTATCAAAAGATAATACCATTAGTTTTTAAATTATTTCGCCACCTCAGTTTTTCTGATTTAATTCAGGTCTATTTTCAGAAAATGTCTTAATTCTTTCAAGTTTTATGCTCTTAAATTTTGAAGGAAGTGAATCCATACTCAAATGCAGATAATTGCAAGACTCAGAGCAGGAAGTTGACTGCAAGAAGCCCATTTCTGTTGGTAAAATGATGGCCTCTACATAATTCAGAGGATTTTTATCTCCAGTGGCACCCTAATGAAATTGTTTTGGATTTTCTTGTGTTCTCTAAAACAGCTCTCTACAAAGTACAAATTTGGACTTGATTTAAATGGTCAGGACCAAGCAAGCAGTCATTCAGTCTGTAATCAATGCAGAAATCAGTGCTGGAATAGTGAATTATCTGAGAGAGCTTTGTCTTTTCCTACCATTCATTTGGGATATATGTTGGGAAATTTGTCACAGAAGTCATGGTGGCTGACATGGCACTCTAAAGGCACTTTCTGCTAAAATTAAAGCTTGTGAGCCAAATGCCTTTCTATAAATTAATGATAGTAATACTGAGGGAAACAATAAGTCCCTTCTCCTCCATACACTTAATTATATTTTAGAAGGAGTAAGCAAATTAATGAAACAGCATGGCAGATCTCAGAGCTATAGATTTTCAACAGATTACTTATACAAAGCTATGAAAAATACATAACATTAGGTATTTTTGAAGTCCATCGAAATCTTTTTAAAAACAATAGTATCTTTAATAATTCACATTTATTAATTACTCCAGTAGTGTATTATATAATTATATAGTTAAAATTTTATTTAAAAAAAAGTCATGTTGCATAAGTATGTATAAGAATGCTGTAGTGATCTGAAAGCATTTTTACAGTATCCTTAAAAAGCTTAATCCTTAGGCGCTGGCCAGGTAGGTCAGTTGGTTAGAGCATCATCCCAATGAGACAAGGTTGTGGTTTTGATCGAGGGTCAGGGCACATGCAAGAATCAACCAGTGAATGCATGAGTAGGTGAAACCACCAATCTACGTTTCTCTCTCTCTCTCTCTCTCTCTCTCTCTCTCTCTCTCTCTCTCCCTCTCCCCCCTTCCCCCCTCCCTCTCTCTCTCTTTCTCAAAATCAATCGATAAATAAAAATAAATAAATAAAAAGCTTAATCCTTAATAAAGCCTTAATTTTCATATATGAGAGAAACCTACAAGGTTTATTTTGGGTGTCTCAAAGAGCTATTTTATCTGGCATTCCAAATGTATCTTAAAGAAATGTAAGGAATGTATTCTATTTTTTGTGCTTCTCTAAGAGGGAAAAAATTTTCATTTGGTGATTAATATTACTTAAAATTCATAATAAAAGCTCCTGGACACATAACTGTTTAAGGGCATATTAGAGTAAGTTACAGAATTAGGACTTTAGGTAAGGGAAGAAAAAACAAATAGATTTAAGTTTACAAAATCACAGATTTGGGCCCAGCTGGTGTGGCTCAGTTGGTTGAGTATCATCCCATGAACCGGAAAGTCACTGGTTCAATTCCTGGTCAGGGCACATGCCCAGGTTGTGGGCTTGATCCCCAGTAGGGAGCATGCAGGAGGCAGCTGATCGATGTTTCTCCCTCATGGATGTTCCTATCTTTCCCTCCCCCTTTCTCTCTAAAAAAATCAATAAAAACATTTTTTTTAAATCACAAATTTGGGGAGGGCAAGAATGTTAAGAAAAAGGGGGGGGAAGTTGGTGGTTTTTACTTAAATGATAGACATAAATAAATATTAAAAGAACTGTCATGCTCCTTTAAAAAAAAAGATATAAGTTTAGGTAGACAATTGATGGCTAGAAAGAAAATACACACTCACTTTCCTCAAGTTTCTGATGTTTGTTTGTTTGACCAAGGACATACAGACTTAGTGGAAGTCAGCTAGCCACTTCTCAGTGCAGCTTCCCTCGGCCACCAGAGCCCTGTAAAAGGGATGTACAATTGTTAACACTGGCTGTACATGGTCGGCTTTCCAGATCTGGGAAGCTTAATTGTGTCATGAAGTCTTTTGTACCAGAGGCATACATTACTATTTAGAAAGAACTTAAGCAATATATGCCCTTATTGGGGGAAAAATTAATATATCTGGACTCTCTGGTTCTTTAGCCTAACTCAACAGCAAGCTCATTCAGAGGAAAAGCATAGTGAGTGCTCAGATATTCACGAGTGGTGTCCTGACCGCTTTCTGGGGCTTTGGAAAGCTTCTTTCCCCCCACATACTCTTTCCTCCCTCCACCCCATATCCCCAGATCACTACCCAGAGCAATAAATCAATGGGATATAGGGTAGTGAACAGTGAATTTATGGGTTATAACTCTCGGACAAGCTCAATATTTGTGCAGACCTGCAAGGAGCGGTAAATCTTAGAGCTATCTAAATGTAAATTTTATACTACCACAAAATAAGAATACATATGGGGAAAAAGCACCATAAAGTTTATTGTGGCAAATAAACTCAAGATCTGTAAAATGTGATTCAAAATGAGGTAAACTTTTCCCCCAGCAAATTCTCTCAATTACATGTTCTCCCTCCTTACCTATTATCATACTGTTCGGTATAAGACTGGATGGAATAAGTCAGAACTGAGTTCCAGCCTCAGCTAGCATTTATCTTTGTTCTTGCTACTCAGCGTAGGGTAGGTACATGGACCAGTAAAATCAGTATCATGTGGGAACTTATTTAAAATATAGAATCTCAGTCTTCATACCTACTAAACTAGAATCTGCATTTGAAAAAACTCCTAGGTAATTCTCAGCATATTAAATTTTAAGAAACACTGCTTTATGTAACTTTGGCCAGGTTACTGTGTCTCTCTCTCCTCCTTGATTTCTCTTCAGACCAGTGGTGAAGCTGACCTAGGTAATTTGTAGGAATTTTAAAACTAGAATGATTCTATAATAAGGCTTAGTAATTTAGAGCATGGGTTCTGCAACCAGTGTGTCTGGGTTTAATTCCCACTCTGCCACTTATTGTGTAACCTTGTGTGGATTATAGCTTCTCTGTGCCCCAGTTTCCTCATTTGAAAATAGGGATTATAATCTACTTCATGGAGTTGAATTTGAATTGTATTTAGATTGAATTTAGTAATGTATTTAGATTAGTGTTTGGTACAGAATAAGTACTATACAAGTACCAACTCTTATTATAAGTTAAGATTCTTTTTTTAATCAGGTTTTTTTTTTTGTTGTTTTTTTTTTGAGGAGGGAGATGGAAAGATTTAT